TTCCAGCCCCTGCCCTGGTCTCTGGCGGATCCAGAACATGGAGGAACTCCCGAAACTGAACCCAGACCCTCGGCAGAGGAGGCGCAGGGACCCCCCGGGGAGCTGGAGGTGCCCCCTGCACTCCAGCAGGGTCACGGCCGCTCCCCCATCCCCAAATAGTCACTGGTTTTTCCCCAGAATACTTTTTTCTTGCCTCAAATGTCTAGCAGAGGTTTCCTGTATTGAAAAGTTCCTTAAACCCAGCAATTACCCCCATCCACCCATTAATTAATTGGACACCTCAGCCTGACTTTTGCATCTCCTCATCCCCATCTCCCCTCTGTCCCGCAGGGCTCCGGGCGGCCGTGACCCTGCTGGAGTGCGGGGGGGGCCTCCAGCCCCCCGGGGGATCCCTGCGCCTTCTCTGCCAAGGGGCCGGGTTCAGTTTTGGGAGTTTTTCCATGCAATGGGCCCGACAGAGACGCAGGCAGGGGCTGGAGTGGGTCGCGGGGATCTGGAACGATGGTGCTGACACCGGCTATGCGCCATCAGTCAGGGGCCGGGTGAGGATCTCCAGGGACAACGGGCAGAGCTCGGTGACGCTGACCATGAACAACCTCAAGGACGAGGATTACGGATCCTATTTCCGCGGGAAATCTGCTTATAACAATTGGGGTACTGGTGCTGGTGTGGATGGTTTTGGTCCGGACCCTGTGGCCATGTCCCGACCGCCTCCCAAATCCAAGACCCTTCCCTAAAACCCAAACCCTTTTGCCCATTCCTGACTCTGTCCCAACCCCAGAGTGGTTCTTCCCCAAATTCTTCATACCTGGCAAGAAAGTTGACCCAAGTCTTAACCTTGGCTTTAAATCTCCACTTTTAATTCAAAGTTTGGTGCACAAAGAGGAGATTTGTGGTCAGGAGTTGTGGTTTGGGGTCAGCGGGTGAGAATTGGGGCTGAGGCAGAGCAAGGTTGGGATCAATGGTCAAGGGCTGGGTGTGGGCTGGGGGTTTGGGGGAAGGGTCTGGGCAACGGGGACAGGGGGGGACACGGGGATGGGGGGCACAGTCAAATCTATAAACAACACCAGCAGGATCATACCAAACATTAACAGATTTGGCACAAAAATAGGTGGCAGAATCCTTGTCCTTGAGGTTGTTCATGGTCAGTGTCACCGAGCTCTGCCCGTTATCCCTGGAGATCCTGAACCGGCCCTTGACTGAGGGTGCATAGCCGGTGCTTGAACCATCGCTCTTGATCCCCCGAGCCACTGCGTCACCTGCCCGGCTCTCTGGCGGACCCACTGCATCCCAAAATTCCCAAAACTGAACCCGGACCCTCGGCAGAGGAGGCGCAGGGACCGCCCGGGGGACTGGAGGTGCCCCCCGCACTCCAGCAGGGTCACGGCATCTGACTCCATTATGCAGAATGCTGAACAATTGCTCTATTAAATCTCTACTATATTACATTAATATTTTATTTTATTGCATTAATACAATATTATATCTCATTATTACTTTATTACATGTCATTAATAATATATTATATCTCATTAATACTATATCTCAATAATTCTATATTATAACTCATTAATACTATATTATATCTCATTAAAACTATATTACATCTCTTTAATACTATATTACATCACGTTAATGGTATATTACATCTCATTAATACTCTATTATATCTCATTAATTCTATATTATATCCCATTAATACTATATTACATCTCATTAATGCTATATTACATCTCATTAATTCTATATTATATCACATTAATACTATATTATATTTCATTAATTCTATATTATATCTCATTAATGCTATATTACATCTATACTAAAGAGATACTAAAAGAATTCCGTACAAAAGACACGAAAAAATCCTAAAGAATCCCCGTGAGAGTCTGACAGAGCCAGGTCACGGCCTGGAGCTCATTGGCCAAGGAAACAAAACAATCTGCAGCAGAACCCAAATGATGAATCCCTGGAGGGGAACAATACCCCTGACACTTTCCACACGTGCAGAAACAGCAGGAGCAGTGAGGAGAGATGGGAATTGTTTCATCTTCATCTTCTCTCTGTGCTGCTCCAGGAAAAATCCTGTGACAGAAAGAGAGAGACAGAGAGAGAGGGAGAGGGAGAGAGAGACAGAGAGAGAGAGGGAATGGTGTCGGACTTCGTGCTGGGAATGAGAATGGCATAGCTGGTCCTGGTGCCCATCTCCCCTTTGTCCCGCGGGGCTCCGGGTGGCCGTGACCCTGCTGGAGTGTGGGGGGCACCTCCAGCCCCCCGGAGGGTCCCTGCGCCTCCTCTGCTGAGGGTCTGAGTTTAATTTTGGGAGTTTCTCCATGTTCTGGGTGTGCCAGAGACCTGCCCCTGGGCAGGGGCTGGAATTCATGGCAGGGATCAAGGACAATGGTGGCAGCATCGCCTACGCGCCATCGTTCAAGGGCCAGTTCAGGATCTCCAGGGACAACAGGCAGAGCTCGGTGACGCTGACCATGAACAACCTCAAGGACGAGGATTCCGGATCCTATTTCTGTGCCAGATGTGTTGATGGTGGTTGTGCCAGTAGTGAGGGTACTGTTGTTGTGGCATTTATTGCTGGTTCTGATCTTGGTCCAAAATCCCTATACTTTGTTTCCAAATATCCCACAGTCCTCTGATCTCTCCACCAAATCTCAGCCCTTTTCATCAAATCTCGGCCATTTTACCCCAAACTCCGCCCCTGCTGCCCCAATTCCCGAATTTCTCCCAGTTTTTCCCATTCCACCCAAATCTCCCCCAGCTCCCAAGACCTGGTTGGAGCAGACCTAAACTGGAGCCCAGGGGTGAAGGTTTGGGGCCAATGGTTGAGTTTTGGGGCAGGAACAGGGGAGGGTTTGGGGTCAGTGCTGACCATTGGGGCAAATGGAGACAAAGGGTCAAGGGCTGGGTCAATGGTGAGGTTTGGGATGAAAAGCAGAACTCTGGAGACTCAATGATGGGAGTGGGATGAAAGGCAGGAGCTTGAGACCATCAGGGGCATCGTCACCATTAGCACCAGCACCATAACCATCAGCAGCCCTGGCACAGAAATAGGATCCGGAATCCCCGACCTTGAGGTTGTTCATGGTCAGCATCACCGAGCTGTGCCCGCTGTCCTGGGAGATCGTGAACTGTCCATTGACCGATGGCGCGTGGTAAGTGGTTCCACAAATGTTTATGTACGCCACGTATTCCAGCCCCTGCCCGTGTCTCTGGCGCACCCAGTTCATGGCAAAATTGCCAAAACTGAACCCAGACCCTCGGCAGAGGAGGGGCAGGGAACCCCCGGGTGGCTGGAGGTCCCCCCTGCACTCCAGCAGAGTCACGGCCGCCCGGAGCTCTGCGGGACAAAGGGGAGATGGGGATGAGGGGATGGATTGGCTGTGCGGTCAAAGTTTGCGCTGCCATTCCGGAAAAAGGGTGTGGGATCCACCCGGGATGACTGGCAGGAGTTGCAGGAGGAAGATGGTGAGGTCCAAGGGTCACAATTTTTGGGCAACATCAGGTTCTGCATGCAAGAATCAACATTTGGGTGGATGTTTTCCTTCATCCCCTTCTCCCCTTTGCCCTGCGGGGCTCCGGGCGGCTGTGACTCTGCTGGAGTGCGGGGGGGACCTCCAGCGCCCCGGGGGTCCCTGTGCCTCCTCTGCCGAGGGTCCGAGTTAAGTTTCGGAAGCTACGACATGTTCTGAATCCACCAGAGACCTGGGCAGGGGTTGCAATATGTCGCAAGGATCTACTACAGTGGAGGTTACACCGACTACGCGCCGTCGGTCAAGGGCCGGTTCAGGATCTCTAGGGACAACGGGCAGAGCTCGGTGACGCTGACCATGAACAACTTCAAGGACAAGGATTCCGCCACCTATTTCTGTGCCAAATGTTAGAGTAGTAGTTTGGTGGTGGTGGTGCTGGTTATGGTGTTGATGGTGGTTGTGGTCCCGAGACCTCTCCTCTCTCTTCCCAAATATCTCAGAATTCTCTGATCCTTCCCCAAAATCCCCACCCCTCTTTCTCAAATCTTGACCATTTCCCCAAACTCCACCATCACTTCCCCAATTCACAGTTTCCCCCCAATTTTGCCCATTTCTCCCCCGTCTGACCCTTCCCCTCCGTCCCAGTGTGGAACGGGGATCGCTCCAGGGCCCTTTGCACACAAAGCTTTTTGTGCAGCCGGCGCTCTGCCGCAGCGCCCAGAGGCTGAGCTGCCCTCTGCCAAACACAGATGTTCACAATGACCAAAACCAGGAACTTTCTGTTTCCTTTCCTGCCCCAGCCGGGCCTCGGCAGCTGCCGGGGAGGAAGTGGGGGGAGGCTGCGGAGCCCCAAAATTGCGGCGTCTGCTCCTCCCTCCGTCCCCCCCATGCTCCCACCTGGGGCTTCACTTCTCCCTCAGCGGCCGCGGTGTCTGGTGCTGCTCCTTGGGGCTGGGCTGGAATCCTCTCTGGGAGCTCTGGACATGGTGATGATGCTGGTGCTGGCCCCAAAACCCCATCCCTGGCTCCCGAAACTGTCCCAAAATCCCCAAATCCTGCCTAAAATCCCAAACCTTGACCCCCTTCTAGACCTTCCTCCACAGTCTCCACCATGTTTGCCCCAACTTTCGACTTTCCCCATATTTTGCCCATTTCACCCAAATCTCTCCCAGTTCCCGTGCCCTGATTGGAGGAGGCCTCAACTGGAGGCCAGGGATGAAGGTTTGGGGCCAATGGTTGAGTTTTGGGGGAGGAGCAGGGGAGGGTTTGGAATCAGTGCTGACCATTGGGGCAAATGGGGACAAGGGGTCAAGGGCTGAGGTTTGGGGGGAGGGTCTGGGTTTGAGGACAGGGGGGACTCAAAGATGGGAGCAGGGCCTAAACCACCATGACCAATATCACCACAGTCAATATAGTCACCAGCAGCAGGAGCACAACAATCATCACAATTTTTGGCACAGAAATAATTGGCGGAATCCTCGACCTTGAGGTTGATCATGGTCAGCGTCATCAGACTCTGCCCGTTGTCCCTGGCGATCATGAACTGGCCCTTCACCGAATCCGCGTACCAGGTGCTACCACCGCTGCGGATGTAGGGGACGAATTCCAGCCCCTGCCCGGGTCTCTGACGGACGCATTGTAGGGCAAAACTCCCGAAACTGAACCCGGACCCTCGGCAGAGCATCGTCAAGGACCCCCAGGGGGGCTGGAGGTCCCCCCCACACTCCAGCAGGGTCACGGCCGCCCGGAGCCCTGCGGGACAAAGGGGAGATGGGGATGAGAAACCTGATTTGTCGAGAGTCCCCCAGTCATCCTGGCCAGTTGGAAAAAAGTATGGGATTCATTCTGGAGGGTGACCAGGATAAGGAAGAGAATGACAAAGGTCCCAGTTTTGGGCCAAGAGTCAGAATTTGGGTCAAGGGTTGAGCTTTGGCCTCATCCCCATCTCCGCTTTGTCCTGCAGGGCTCCGGGCGTCCGTGACCCTGCTGGAGTGCGGGGGCGACCTCCAGCTCCCCGGGGGGTCCCTGCGCCTCCTCTGCCGAGGGTCTGGGTTTAGTTTCGGGAGTTTTGGAATGTTCTGGATCCACCAGAGACCTGGGCAGGGGCTGGAATTCGTTGCTGGGATCAATGCTGATGGTATCAACACCGACTACGCGCCGTCGGTTAAGGGCCGAGGTTGTTCATGGTCAGTGTCACCGAGCTGTGCCCGTTGTCCCTGGAAATCCTGAACCGGCCCTTGAATGATGGCGCATAGATGGTGACGCCATTGTAGTGGATCGCTGTGATGTATTCCAAACCCTGCCCGGGTCTCTGGCGGATCCAGTACCTTCCATAATCACCGAATCTGAACCCGGACCCTCGGCACAGCAATGTCAGAGACCCCCGGGGGGCTGGAGTTCCCCCCCGCACTCCAGCAGAGTCATGGCCGCCCAGAGCCCTGCGAGACAAACGGGAGATGGGGATGGACAAAGCTCAACCACTGACCCCAAAATCCTGATTCTTTGACCCAGAATTTGACCCTTGGCTCTCCCCATCCGCTTCATCTTGCTGCTCCAGCTTGGACTCCCAGGTGGGTCCGGCCCCTTTTTCCAGCCAACCACCCCCAGTTTGGGGCTTTGGACCAATCAGGTTTCCCATCCCCATCTCCCCTTTGTCCCACAGGGCTCCAGGCGGCCGTGACTCTGCTGGGGTGTGGGGGGGACCTCCAGCCCCCCGGGGGGTCCCTGCACCTCCTCTGCCCAGGGTCCGGGTTCACTTTCTGGAGCTATAAAATGTTCTGGGTGAACCAGAGCCCCGGGCAGGGGCTGGAATACATTGCAGATATCAGCAACACTGGTGGCTACACCGAGTACGCGCCGTCGGTCAAGGGCCGGTTTACGATCTCCAGGGACAACGGGCAGAGCTCGGTGACACTGACCGTGAACAACCTCAAGGACGAGGACTCCGGATCCTATTTCTGTGCCAAAAGTAGTAGTGATACTTGTTGTGGAGCTGCTGCTGCTCTTGATCCAACTGATCTAATCACTGGACCCCTGTCAGCATCCCCGTGCCCCAGACATTTCCCCCAAACCCCCTTGCTGACCCTCTGTCCCAGCCCTGCTCTGGCTCTGCCCCAAATGTCCCCTCTGGGCCACACTCAGTGCCCTCGATCTCCAAATGTCACTGAAATGTCTGGATGTGGGCCCAAGGCTGAGCTGAGGGGTCAAGAATTCAAATTTTGCCCAAAATTCCAGATGTGAGGCCATGGCCAGATTTGGGTCCGTGGCTGTGACTCGGTTTTAGCAGGGGAGATTTGGGGTAAAACTGGACAAGTCTGGGGGCAATGGTTGGGATTGGAGGGACGAGGCTGAGCTCAGGGTGAAACCGGCCCTGATTTGGGGCTGGGAGCTGAGATTTGGGACCAAGAGCTGAGATTTGGGGCCAGGAGCTGAGATTTGGGGCAGAGCCAGTTCAGAGCTGGGACACGGGGACAGGAATGGCGTCAGGGGCTGGGGTTTGGGGAAAGAATCTGGAAAATGGGGACAAGTGGGGAAACAGCAATGCGGTTGGGGACAAAAGGATTTGCAGCAACAGCCCAACCAGCACCTGCATATTTGGCACAGAAATAGGATCTGGAATCGTCGTCCTTGAGGTTGTTCATGGTCAGCGTCACCGAGCTCTGCCCGTTGTCCCTGGAGATCCTTAACCGGCCCTTGACCGACGGCGCGTAGAAGGTGAACCCACCAGTGTTATCAATCCCTGTGAGCCATTCCAGCCCCAGCCCAGGCCCCTGTCGAGCCCAGATCATGGCATAACCCCCAAAACTGAACCCGGCCCCTCGGCAGAGGAGGCGCAGGGACCCCCCGGGGGGCTGGAGGTCCCCCCCGCACTCCAGCAGGGTCACGGCAGCTCCCCCATCCCCAAACCTTCACTGGTTTTGCCCCCAATTCCCTTTGTTTCTCCCCAAATCTCCATCAGGGTTTTCCTGTATGGTAAAGTGCCTTCAACCCAGCAAACAGTCCCAATCCACCAAATAATTAATTGGGATCCTCAGCCTGACTTTTGTATCTCCCCATCCCCATCTCCCCTTTGTCCCGCAGGCCTCAGGGAGGCCGTGACCCTGCTGGAGTGCGGGGGGGACCTCCAGCCCCCAAGGGGAGTCCCTGACGCTGGTGTGCCACGCCTCTGGCTTCAATTTCACAAAATCTGCAATGTTCTGGATCCACCAGAGACCTGGGCTGGGCCTGGAATACGTTGCGAGGATCAACGGTGATGGTTCCACCCCCAGATACGCGCCATCGGTCAAGGGCTGGGTCATGATCTCCAGGGACAATGGGCAGAGCTCGGTGACGCTGACCATGAACAACCTCAAGGACGAGGATTCCGGATCCTATTTCTCTGCCAAAAACGCCTATGATGGTTGGGGTTGGGAGGCTCATGCTGCTGGTTCAATTTTAGTCCTGTCCCCATCCTTGTTCCCCAGGTCCTTCCCTCCAGCCCTTGACCCCATTGGTGACCCCCCACGGACCCAAATCTGGGCAGTTTTTCCCAAATCTTGACCATTTGCACCCAGGTTTGGGACATTGGTTGGGACTTGGAGCCAAGAGCTGCGGTTTGGGTCCAGGAGCTGAGATTTGGGGCATAGCCAGCTGAGTTTGGGGCCAATGGTCACAAGTGAACCCCGCTGACATCTGGGGCACAAAGGGCAGAGTTTTGGGGATGAACCTTTGAGATTTGGGCCAAATGATGAAAGCCCCATGGAAATGTGAGAGGTGAGGCAATGATGGGGTAGTTGGGGGAAAATGTTCAGGATTCAGTGCCAGGAGTAAAGATTTGAGGGTAGAATGTCGGAATTTTTGGATGTTTGTGGGTTTTCAATGGCTGGGGTGGGTCCACCACTGACAATGTCAATAAAAGCAGCATAAATATAAGAAGGACCACAACCATTGGTGTAACATTTGGCGCAGTAATAGGATCCGGAATCCTCGTCCTTGAGGTTGTTCATGGTCAGCGTCACCGAGCTCTGTCCGTTGTCCCTGGAGATCGTGAACCGGCCCTTGACCAACGGCGCGTACCAGGTGCTACCACCAGTGTTCCAGATTCCTGCAATGAACTCCAGCCCCTGCCCGGGTCTCTGCCGGATCCAGAACATGTCGTAGCTTCCAAAATTGAACCCAGACCCTTGGCAGAGGAGGCCCAGGGAACTCCCGGGGGGCTGGAGGTCCCCCCCGCACTCCAGCAGGGTCACGGCCGCCCGGAGCCCTGCGGGACAAAGGGGAGATGGGGATGGGAAACCTGATTTGCTGTGGGACTCAAAGGGGGTTTGGCCAGTTGGGAAATGGAACGGGACCCACCTGGGAGGACCAGCAGGCCCAGGAGGAGGAGGTTGATGAACTCCAAGGGTCCCAGTTTGGGGCCCAGGGTTAGGATTTGGGTCAAGGGTTGAGCTCCGGCCTCATCCCCATCTCCCCTTTGTCCCGCAGGGATCCAGGTGGCCGTGACCCTGCTGGAGTGTGGGGGGGACCTACAGCCCCCCGGGGGGGTCCCTGTGCCTCCTCTGCCAAGGGTCCAGGTTCAGTTTTGGGAGTTTTCCCATGCAATGGATCCGCCAGAGACCCAGGCAGGTGCTGGAATACGTTGCGGGGGTCTGGAGCAGTGGTGCTTACACCTACTACAGTCCATCGGTCAAGGGCCGATTCACGATCTCCAGGGTCAACGGGCAGAGCTCGGTGATGCTGACCATGAACAACCTCAAGGACGAGGACTCCGGATCCTATTTCTGTGCCAGGGGTACTGATGATAATGGTGCTGTTAATGATGCCTATGGAATTGCTGCCTCGCCATGGCTGTGTCCCCCCCTGTCCCCATTCCCCAGACCCTTCCCCAATCCCCAGCCCCTGACTCCATTCCTGTCCCCGTGTCCCAGCTCTGAGCTGGCTCTGCCCCACATTCTCAGCTCTTGGCCCCAAACCTCAGCTCTGGGCTCCAAGTCTCTGCCTAGGTCTCCAAACCTGGGGGCAAATGGCTGAGATTTGGGGAAAATGGGCCAGATTTGGGTCTGTGGGGGTCACCAATGGGGTCAAGGGTTGGAGGGAAGGATCGGGGCAACAGGGATGGGGGGGCACACAGGGATGGGGATGGGGTCCAACAGCAGCACCAGGAACATAAGCACCCCAACCAGCAGAAGCACATTTGGCACAGAAATAGGATCCAGAATCCTCGTCCTTGATGTTGTTCATGGTCAGTGTCACCGAGCTCTGCCCGTTGTCCCTGGAGGTCGTGAACTGGCCCTTGAACACAGACAGGTATCTGGTGTATCCATTGCTGTCAATGCCTGCGACCCACTCCAGCCCCTTCCCGGGTCTCTGGCGCACCCAGCTGATCCCAAATTGTCCAAAACTGAACCCGGACCCTCGGCAGAAGAGGCGCAGGGACCCCCCGGGTGGCTGGAGGTCCCCCCTGCACTCCAGCAGGGTCACGGCTGCCCGGGGCCCATCCCCAAATCTTTACCAATTTCCCTCATAACTCCACTGGTTTGGTCCCAATTCTCCATCAGATTTTTCTGGAATCCTGAGGTCCCTCAAACCCTACAAGTTAACTCAATATTCTCATTAATTAATTGCACACCTTGACCTGAGTGTTCCACATTGATTTAAAAATTAAAACCAGCATTACCCATCCCCAACCCCGGCACATCACGGCCACGGCCTCGAGCTCCCTCCGGCTCCTGGCCCTGCTGCTCCTGCTGCCCCTCCCAGGTGGTCCTACCCTTTTCCCCTTCCGAACCAATCAGGTTTATGATCCCCATCTCCCCATTGTCCCGCAGGGCTCCGGGCGGCCGTGACCCTGCTGGAGTGCGGGGGGGAACCTCCCGCCCCCCGGGGGGTCCCTGCGCCTCCTCTGCCAATGGGCCGGGTTTGATTTTGGGAATTTTGCCATGAACTGGGTTCGACAGAGATCCGGGCAGGGGCTGGAATGGGTCGCCTACATCAGCAACACTGGTGCTTACATCTACTAGGCGCCATTGGTCAAGGGCCGGTTCAGGATCTAGAGGGACAACGGGCAGAGCTCAGTAACGCTGACCATGAACAACCTCAAGGACGAGGATTCCGCCACCTATTTCTGTGCCAAAAGTTGGGCTGGTTGTTGTGTTCCTGCTGCTGGTAAAGACATTGATTGGGATGATGTTGGTCATGGTGGTTTTTTTCTGAGTCCTTTTTTTAGAGCCTCCCAGTCCCCAAACCCAGACTCTCCCTCCGAATCTCAGCCCTTGACCCTTTGTCCCAAATCTCCCCCATTTGCCCCAATGGTCAGCACTGACGCCAGAACCTCCCCTGCTCCTGCACCAAATCTCAACCATTGGCCCCAAAAACTTCACCCCTGGCCTCCAGTTCAGGCCTCCTCCAATCAGGGCCTGGGAGCTGGGGGAGATTTGGGTTAAATGGGCAAAACTGGGGGAAAGTCCAGAGTTGAGGCAGAGATGGTTGACACCGGGGGAGAAGGTCAAGAATGAGGTCAAGGCGTGGGATTTGGGGCACGATTTGTGGATTTTGGGACATTTGGGGAGCCAGGGATGGGGGTTTGGGGCCACCACCAGCATCGTCACCATGTCCAGAGCTCCTAGAGAGGATTCCAGCCCAGCCCCAAGGAGCAGCCCCAGACACCGCAGCCGCTGAGGGAGAAGTGAAGACCCAGGTGGGAGCAAGGGAGGGAGGGAGGGAGGATCAGACGCCGCGATTTTGGGGCTCCGCAGCCTCCCCCCACTTCCTCCCCGGCAGCTGCCGGGGCCCGGCCGGGGCGGGAAAGGAAACAGAAAGTTCCTGGTTTTGGTCATTGTGAACATCTGTGTTTGGCAGAGGACAGCTCAGCCTCGGGGCGCTGCGGCAGAGCGCCGGCTGCACAAAAAGCTTTGTGTGCAAAGGGCCCTGGAGCGATCCCCGTGCCACACTGGGACGGAGGGGAAATGCCAGACGGGGGAGAAATGGGCAAAATTGGGGGAAACCAAAAGCTGGGGCAGCAGGGGTGGAGTTTAGGGGGAAATGGTCAAGATTTGAGAAACAGGGGTGGGGATTTTCGGGATGCATAGGAGAATTCTGAGATATTTGGGAACAGAGAGGAGAGGGCTTGGGACCACAACCACCATCAACACCATAACCAGCACCACCACCACCAAAACTACTACTGTAATATTTGGCACAAAAATAGGTGGCGGAATCGTTGTCCTTGAGGTTGTTCATGGTCAGCGTCACCGAGCTCTGCCCGTTGTCCCTGGAGATCCTGAACCGGCCCTTGACCAAGGGCGCATAGTCGGTGTAACCTCCAGTGTAGTAGATCCTTGCGATGTATTGCAACCCCTGCCTGGGTCTCTGGCGGATCCAGAACATGTCAGCTCTCCCGAAATCAAACCCGGACCCTCGGCAGAGGAGGCGCAGGGACCCCCTGGGGGGCTGGAGGTCCCCCCCGCACTCCAGATGGGTCACGGCCGCCCGGAGCCCTGCGGGACAAAGGGGAGATGGGCACGGGGCCTGGCTGTGCCATTCTCGTTCCCTGCACAGAGTCAGACACCATTGTCTCTCTCCCTCTCTCTCCCTCTCTCCCTCTCTCCCTCTCTCCCTCTCTCTCTCTCTCTCCCTCTCTCTCTGTCTCTCTCTCTCATTATTTTTCCTGGAGCAGCACAGGGAGAAGAAGAAGATGAAACAATTCCCATCTCTCATCGCTGCTCCTGCTGTTTCTGCACATGTGGAATGTGTCGGGGGGATCGTTCCCCTCCAGGGATTCACCCGCTGGCTGCTGCTGAGGATTGTTTTGCTTCCTTGACCAAAGGGCTCCAGGCCGTGACCTGGCTCTCTCAGACACTCGAGGGGTTTCTTCAGGATATTTTAGGGTCTTTTGTACAGAATTCTTTTAGTATCTCCTTAGTATAGGTGCAATATCGCATAAATGATATATAATAGAGAATTCAAGAGATATAGCATTAATGAGATGTAATACAGTATTAATGAGATATAGTTTAGTATTAATGAGATATAATATAGAATTATTGTGATATAATACAGTATTAAAGAGATATAATATATTATTAATAAGATGTAATATAGTAATATTGAGATATAATATAGTATTAATGTAATAAAATATAATATTAGTGTAATATGGTAGAGATTTATTTGCAATTGTTCAGCATTCTGACTCATGGAGTCAGACGCCGTGACCCTGCTGGAGTGCGGGGGGGACCTCCAGCCCCCCGGGGGGTCCCTGCACCTCCTCTACCGAGGCTCCGGGTTCAGTTTTGGGAATTTTGGGATGGGCTGGATGCGCCAGAGACCCGGGCAGGGGCGGGAGCGGGTCGCAGCGATCTGGAGCAATGGTGCCACCTACTACGCGCCGTCTCTGCAGGGCCTGTTCAGGAACTCCAGGGAAAACGGGTAGAGCTCGGTGACGCTGACCATGAACAACCTCAAGGACGAGGATTCTGCCATCTATTTCTGTGCCAAAGAGAGTGGTACTGGTGATAATACTGCTGCTGCTTATATTGACCATGCCGGTGGTGGCACCACCCCTGTCTGAACCCCCCCTGTCCCCAATCCCAAACCCTCCCCCAAAACCTCAGGCCTTGACCCTTTGTCCCAAATCTCCCCCATTTGCACCAATCTCCCCCATTTGCACTGAGCCCAAACCCTCCCCTGCTCCTGCCCCAAAACTCAACCTTTGGCCCCAAACCTTCACCCTGGCCTCCAGTTCAGGCCTCCTCCAATCAGGGTCCAGCAACTGGGGGAGATTTGAGTGAAATGGGCAAAACTGGGTGAAAGTCCAGAGTTGGGGCAAATATGGTGGACATTCGGGGAGAAGGTCAAGAATGGGGTCAAGGGTTGGGATTTGGGGCAGGATTTGGGGATTTTGGGACATTTGGGGAGCGAGGGGTTTGGGGCCACGAAAAACATCGTCACCGTGTCCATAGCTCCCAGAGAGGATTCCAGCCCAGCCCCAAGGAGCAGCCCCATACACAACGGCTGCTGAGGGAGCAGTGAAGCCCCAGCTGGGAGCAAGGGAGGGAGTGAGGGAGGAGAAGACGCCGCGATTTTGGGGCTCCGCAGCCTCCCCCCACTTCCTCCCCGGCAGCTGCCGGGGCCCAGCCAGGGCAGGAAAGGAAACAGAAAGTTCCTGGTTTTGGTCATTGTGAACATCTGTGTTTGGCAGAGGCCAGCTCAGCCTCTGGGCGCTGCGGCAGAGCGCCGGCTGCACAAAAAGCTTTGTGTGCAAAGGGCCCTGGAGCGATCGCCGTTCTGCACTTGGACAGAGGGGAACTGGGGGAGATTGGGGAGAATTGGGGAATATTGGGTGAAAACCAAATATTGGGGCAACAGGGGAGGAGTTTGGAGGAAATGGTGAAGATTAGATAAAAAGGGCTTGAACCAGGGGGAAGGATCAGAGAAATCTGTGATACCTGGGAACACAGAAGAAGGGGCTTGGGACCACAACCAACATCAACACCATAACCAGCAGTAGCATTACCACAACCACTGCTGTAACATTTGGCACAAAAATAGGTGGCGGAATCGTCGTCCTTGAGGTTGTTCATGGTCAGCATCACCGAGCTCTGCCCGTTGTCCCTGGAGATCGTGAACCGACCCTTCACCGACGGCGCATATTAGGTGCTGCCACCAGTGTAGTAGATCCTTGCCACGTATTCCAGCGCCTGCCTGGGTCTCTGGCAGATCCAGAACATGTCAACACTCCCAACATCAAACCCGGACCCTAGGCAGAGGAGGCGCAGGGAAGCCCCGGGGGGCAGGAGGTCCCCCCCGCACTCCAGCATGGTCACGGCCGCCTGGAGCCCTGCGGGACAAAGAGGATATGTGCACGGGGCCTGGCTGTGCCATTCTCGTTCCCTGCAAAGAGTCAGACGCCATTGTCTCTCTCCCTCTCTCTCCCTCTCTCCCTCTCTCCCTCTCTCCCTCTCTCTCTCTCTCTCCCTCTCTCTCTCTCTCTCCCTCTCTCTCTGTCTCTCTCTCTCATTATTTTTCCTGGAGCAGCACAGGGAGAAGAAGAAGATGAAACAATTCCCATCTCTCATCGCTGCTCCTGCTGTTTCTGCACATGTGGAATGTGTCGGGGGATCGTTCCCCTCCAGGCATTTAGCAGTTGGGTTCTGCTGATTGATTCTTATTTTTTTTCAATTTAATTGCTCACAGGTTTTCTATAGGGTATTTTAGTGTCTTTTGTACTGAATTCTTTTAATATCTCTTTAGTGGAGTGGTAATATAGCACAAATGAAATATAATATATTATTAATGAGATATAGTATTAAGTAGATATAAAATTAATGTAATAAAGTATAGATTGAATGCAGCAATTGTGCAGCATTCTGAGTCATGGGGTCAGATGCCAATCAATCCTAGTTTCCAAAATAAACTGGGCGTAGCCAGATGTGGAGGTGGGCGGGACCCACCTGGGAAGGCCAGCAGGAGGAGGAGCTGGTGGATGGGGAGGTCCAAAGGTCCCAATTTGGGGCCAAGAGTCAGGATTTGGCTCAAGGGCTGGGGTTTTCCCTCACCCCCATCTCCCCTTTCTCCCGCAGGGCTCCGGGCGGCCGTGACCCTGTGGGAGTGCGGGGGGGACCTCCAGACCCCCGGGAGGTCCCTGCGCCTCCTCTGCCGAGGGTCCGGGTTCGATTTTGGACAATTTGGGATGGGCTGGATGCGCCAGAGACCCGGGCAGGGGCTGGAGTTGGTCGCGAGTGTCAACAACAATGGAGGGTACACCGGGTATGCGCCATCAGTCCAGGGCCGGGTCACGATCTCCAGGGACAATGGGCAGAGCTCGGTGACGCTGACCATGAACAACCTCAAGGACCAGGATTCCGGATATTATTTCGGTGGGAAATCTGCTAATGCTGGTTGGCCTGCTGCTGCTACTCATATTGACCATGCCAGTTTTGGCATCACCCCTGTCTGAGCCCCCTGTCCCCAAACCCAGACCCTTCCCCCCAAACCTCAGCCCTTGACCCCTTGTGCCAAATCTCCCCCATTTGCGCCAATGGTCAGCACTGACCCCAAACCCTCCTCTGCTCCTGCCCCAGAACTCAACCATTGGCCCCAAACCTTCACCCCTGGGCTCCAGTTCAGGCCTCCGCCAATCAGGGCCCGGGACTTGGTAGAGATTAGGGAGAAATGGGCGAAATTGGAGGAAAGCACAGAGTTGGGGAAACAATGGCAGAGTTTGGGGGAAAATGGTTGAGGTTTTAGAAGGGCTGAAACTTGGTGGAAGCATCACTGGGATTGGAGAAATTTCACGACCATCATGGTAGCCACCAGAAGTGAAGGCAAAAACAGCAGCAGCATCACCACCAGCATAACCATTGTCACGGTTGGCACAGAAATAGGATCCGGAATCCTCGCCCTTGAGGTTGTTCATGGTCAGCGTCACCGAGCTCTGCCCGTTGTCCCTGGAGATCGTGAACCGGCCCTTGACCGACGGCGTGTAGAAGGTGCTGGAACCACTGCCGCTGATCCCTGTGAGCCACTCCAGCCCCTGCCCAGGTCTCTGGTGGATCCATTGCATGGAAAAACTCTCAAAATCGAACCCGGACCCTCGGCAGAGGAGGGGCAGGGACGCCCCTGGGATCTGGAGGTCCCCCCTGCACTCCAGCAGGGTCACGGCCGCCCGGAGCCCTGCGGGACAAAGGGGAGATGAGGATGAGGGGATGGATTGGCTGTGCGGTCAAAGTGGGTGCTTCCATTCCAGAAAAAGAGTGTGGGATCCACCTGGGATGACTGGCAGGAGTTGCAGGAGGAAGATGGTGAGGTCCAAGGGTCCCAATTTTTTGGCAAAATCAGGGTCTGCATGCAAGAATAAACATTTGGGTGGATTCGTTCCCTCATCCCCATCTCCCCTTTGTCCTGCAGGGCTCCGGGTGGCCGTGACCATGCTGGAGTGTGGGGGGGCACCTCCAGCCCCCCGGGGGGTCCCTGCGCCACCTCTGCCGAGGGTCCGGGTTCAGTTTCAGCAGTTTTTCCATGCAATGGATGTGCCAGAGACCCGGGCAGGGGCTGGAGTGGGTCGCGGGGATCACGAACAATGGCGCTTACAACGGCTATGCGCCATCGTTCAAGGGCCGGTTCACGATCTCCAGGGACAAACGGGCAGAGCTCGGTGACGCTGACCATGAACAACCTCAAGGACGAGGATTCCGCCACCTATTTCTGTGCCAAATCTGCTGCTGCTGGCAATTGGGGCAATGCTGCTGCCTATGTTGAAAACACCAGTTGTGGATGCACCCCCGTGTCCATTTCCCCCCCTGTCCCCAATCCCAGACCCTTGCCCCAAACCTCATCCATTGACCCTTTGTCCCAAATCACCCCTATTGGCACCAAGGGTCAGCACTGACCCCAAACCCTCCCCTGCTCCTGCCCCAAAAATCAACCATGGGCCCCAAACCTTCACCCCTGGCCTCCAGTTCAGGCCTCCTCCAATCAGGGCCCGGGGAGATGGGGGAGATTTGGTTGGAATGGACAAAACTGGGAGAAAGTGGGAAATTGGGGCAGTAATGCCAGAGTTTGGGGGTAAGTGGTGAACATCTGAGGAGAAGGTCTGGGATATTGGGAAAGGATCTGCGGGGATCGGAGACATTTGGTGACCATCATGGCGGGTGGGACCATTGCCGGAACTGTTACTAAGAGCAGCACTATCATAACTGTAACTACTACCAGTACCATGTCTGGCACAGAAATAGGATCCGGAATCCTCGTCCTTGAGGTTGTTCATGGTCAGGGTCACCGAGTTCTGCTCGTTGTCCCTGGAAATCGTGACCTGGCCCTTGACCGACAGCGCCTAGTCGCTGTAAGAACCACTGCTGATACTCGCAATGTATTCCAGCATCTTCCCAGATTTCTGTCGGATCCAGATCATTCCAAAACTCCCAAAATCAAACCCGGACCCTCGCCACAGCAACATCAGGGACCCTCCAGGGGGCTGGAGGTCCCCCCTGCACTCCAGCAGGGTCACAGCCGCCCGGAGCCCTGCGGGACAAAGGGGAGATGGGCATGAGGCCAAAGCTCAACATTGACCCAAATCCTGACCCTTGGCCTCATATTGGGACCCTTGGAGTTCATCATTCTCCTTCCAGGTGGGTCCCGCCCCTTTTTCCAGCTGGCCATGCCCACTTTAAGGCCCTCGACCAATCAGGTTTCCCATCCCCATCTCCCCTTTGTCCGGCAGGGCTCCGGGCGGCCTTGACCCTGTTGGAGTGCGGGGGGGACCTCCAGCCCCCCGGGCGGTCCTTGACGTTGCTGTGCCGCGCCTCTGGGTTCAATTTCGGGAGTTATGGAATGTTCTGGATGCGCCAGAGACCCGGGCAGACACTGGAATACATCGCCAGTATCAAACGCAATGGTGGCAGCACCGACGATGGGCCGTCGGTCAAGGGCCGGGTCACGATCTCCAGGGACAATGGGCAGAGCTCGGTTACGCTGACCATGAACAACCTCAAGGACGACGATTCCGCCACCTATTTCTGTGCCAAACGTGCTACTAGTGATTATGATGGTGCTGCTGCTTATAGTGACGATGGCCGTGGTGGATCCATCCCCGTCTCCATGTCCCCCCCGTCCCCAATCCCAGACCGTTGCCCCTCAAACCTTACTCTTGACCCTTTGTCCCAAATCTCCCCTATTGGCACCAATGGTCAGCACTGACCCCAAACCCTCCCCTGCTCCTGCCCCAAAAATCAACCATTGGCCCCAAACCTTCACCCCTGGCCTCCAGTTCAGGCCTCCTCCAATCAGGGCCCGGGGAGCTGAGGGAGATTTGGGTGAAATGGGCAAAACTGGGAGAAAGTCGGAAATTGGGGCAGTAATGCCAGAGTTTGGGGGTAAGTGGTGAACATCTGAGGAGAAGGTCTGGGATATTGGGAAAGGATCTGCGGGTATCGGAGACATTTGGTGACCATCATGGCGGGTGGGACCATTGCCGGAACTGTCACTAAGAGCAGCACTATCATAACCGTAACTACTACCAGTACCATGTTTGGCACAGAAATAGGATCCGGAATCCTCGTCCTTGAGGTTGTTCATGGTCAGCGTCACCGACCTCTGCCCGTTGTCCCTGGAGATCGTGACCCGGACCTTGACCGACGGAGCCTAGTCGCTGTAAGCACCACTGCTGATACTCGCAATGTATTCCAGCATCTTCCAAGATTTCTGTCAGATCCAGATCATTCCAAACTCCCCAAAATCGAACCCGGACCCTCAGCAGAGGAGGCGCAGGGACCCCCCGGGGGGCTGGAGGTCCCCCCCACACTCCAGCAGGGTCACGGCCGCCCAGAGCCCTGCCGGAAAAAGGGGAGATGGGGATGAGGCCCCGGATCCGGGCGTGGGCTGGGCTGGGGGTGCCCAGATCCAAAAAGGGGCCTCAACCAACCTGGGAGGGGCAGCAGGATCGGGAGGAGGAGAAAGTGCCACAATATGGGGTCAACATCAGGATCTGCATGCAGGAATCAACATTTGGGTGGATTTGTTCCCTCATCCCCATCTCCCCTTTGTCCCGCAGGGCTCCGGGCGGCCGTGACCCTGCTGGAGTGCGGGGGGGACCTCCAGCCCCCCGGGGGGTCCCTGCGCCTCCTCTACCAAGGGTCTGGGTTCAATTTCGGACAATTTGGGATGGGCTGGTTGCGCCGGAGACCCGGGCAGGGGCTGGAATACATTGCCAGTATCACAGCCGTGGCAGCACCTACTACGCGCCGTCGTTCAAGGGCCGGGTCACGATCTCCAGGGACAACGGGCAGAGCTCGGTGATGCTGACCATGAGCAACCTCAAGGACGAGGATTCCGGATCCTATTTCTGCATGAAATCTTCTTGTACCGGTTGTTGGCCTACTGGTGCTTATAGTGAGGGTGCTGGCCATGGCCTGGAGCTGTGGTATTTGATCCGCACTCATCTTTGTGTCCCCAAACTCTCGAGTTTTGCCCCAAAGCTTGGCCTTTGGTCCAGTTGTTGACTCCTTGTTGTCCTAGGGTGTCATTAGGTTGCTTGCATCCCGAGTAATTTTTCTTTTTATGCTGGATATTATGGTCTGTGACTTCAAGAATGGCTCTAAGAGAGAATATTTTGTTTTGATTTGTTTTGTTTTGGTTTTCTTTTATTTTGTTGTCAACTTTTCACTCCCCCAGCAGTCGGTGGCACACAGAGACGGGGCAGTACGCAGGGCATATTTTGCTCTTGCTTTTTGCTCCTGCTCTTTAGTTAGTTCAACCTGGCAATCAGAATTTTCCCTGAACTGTTTCTCCTTTCCCTTTTTTGGACCTGCCCTGGACTAGGACCTGGGAAACACCGAGAGTTTGCACCTTGTGGCTGCAGCAGCTGCCCCAGCACCGGAGGGACTGATAACAGAGCGACCACACATGAGGGAGACTTTCTGAATTTGTCATCTTTTTCAGAGCAATGAAGGAGTGGCGTCATCTGGTGTTGTTTATTTTCTGTTCTGGGGGATGCTGTACCTGCGAAATAAACAGGTGCTTACTACTCATTTCTGAAGAATCCCTCCTGAACCGGTTGGGAGGAGCAGGTGTGTGCTCCTGCCCCTGCTGGCCCTCCGAGGTGGGTCCCACACCTTTTTCTAGCTGGCCACGCCTGCTTTGAGGTCCTCGAGCAATCAGGTTCCTCATCCCCATCTCCCCTCTGTCCCGCAGGGCTCCGGGCGGCCGTGACCCTGCTGGAGTGCGGGAGGGACCTCCAGCCCCCAGGGGGGGTCCCTGTGCCTCCTCTGCCGAGGGTCTGGGTTCAGTTTCGGCAGTGTTGCCATGCAATGGGTCCGCCAGAGACCCGGGCAGGGGCTGGAGTGGGTCGGGAGCATCAGGAGCGATGGTTCCGGCACCAACTTCGCGCCATCGTTCAAGGATCGCGTCAGGATCTCCAGGGACAACGGGCAGAGCTCGGTGACGCTGACCATGAACAACCTCAAGGACGAGGATTCTGCCACCTATTTCTGTGCCAAAGAACCTGGCACTGGTGGTTGGAATGTTGCTGCTTGTTGTCCTTTCAGCTCCATCCCTGTCCCCATTCCCCAGACCCTTCCCTCCAACCCCTGACCCCATTCCTGACCCTTTGTCTGAAGCCTGCCCTGCTCTGGCCCAAGATCTCAGCTCTGGCCCAAAATCAGGGCCGGTTTCACCCTGACCTCGGCCTCGTCCATGAAATCCCAATCATCGCCCCCAGACTGGACCCATTCTGCACCAAAATTTCAGTGGTGGAACTGTGTCCTAGCCACGGACCAAATCTTTCCCATTTTCCCCAAATCTCGACCATTTGCACCCAGGTTTGGGGACCTTGGTTGAGCCTTGGAGCCCAGAGCTGAGGTTTGGGGCCAGGAGCTGAGATTGGGGCAGAGCCAGCTCAGAGCTGGGACAGGGGGACAGGAATGGGGTCAGGGCTTGGGGACGGGAGGAAGGGTCTGGGAAACAGGGAGGGAGGGGACAGAGCCATGTGGATGGGGTCAACATTATAAGCATTATTCCCTGAATAATTATCAGCAGATTTGGTGCAGAAATAGGATCCGGAATCCTCGTCCTTGAGGTTGTTTATGGTCAGCGTCACCGAGCTCTGCCCGTTGTCCCTGGAGATCCTCACGCGCTCCTTGAATGATGCCCCGTAGCTGGCGCTGGAACCGTCCCTGCTGATCCCCACGAGTCACTCCAGCGCCTGCCCGGGTCTCTTATGCATCCAGAACATTCCATTGCTCCCGAAATCGAACCCGGACCCTCGGCAGAGGAGGCGCAGGGACCACCCGGGGGGCTGGAGGTCCCCCCACACTCCAGCAGGGTCACGGCCGCCCGGAGCCCTGCGGGACAAAGGGGAGATGGGGATGAGGAACCTGATTGGTTCAGGGCCAATAACTGGGAGGGGAAAGATTGATAAAGGATTGCAACACACCAGGGAGGAGGATGATGAACTCCCAGGGTCCCAATTTGGGGCCCAGAGTCAGGATTTGGGTCAAGGGTTGAGCTTTGGCCTCATCCCCATCTCCCCTTTGTCCCGCAGGGCTCCGGGCGACCGTAACCCTGCTAGAGTGCGGGGGGCACGTCCAGCCCCCCGGGGGGTCACTGCGCCTCCTCTGCCGAGGGTCCGGGTTTAGTTTTGGGAATTTTGCAATGGGCTGGATCTGCCAGAGACCCGGGCAGGGGCTGGAATTCATCGCCAGCATCAACAGCGATGGTTCCAACACCATGTACACAGATTTGGTCCAGGGGCAGTTCATGATCTCCAGGGACAACGGGCAGAGCTCGGTGACGCTGACCATGAACAACCTCAAGGATGAGGATTCCGGATCCTATTTCTGTGCCAAATGTTACAGCAGTGCTTGTGGTCCTAATATTGATGCTGGTTATGATGACGATGCCAGTGGTGGCCCCCTCCTCGATACTGTGCCCACAAACATCCCGAAACCCCACATTCTACCCCCAAATCTTTCGTGTTGGCCACAAATCTTGACCATTTTCCCCAATCTCCCCAATCATTGTCTCGCCTCACACATTTCCATGGGGCTTTCAGAATTTGAAATAATTCTCAAAGGTTCATCCCCAAAATTCTGCCCTGTGTGCCCCAGATCTCAGCGGGGTTCACTTGTTACCATTGGCCCCAAACTCAGCTGGTTCTGCGCCAAATCGCAGCTCTTGGCACCAAACCTCAGCTCTTGGCTTCAAGGCTCAAGCAAGGTTCTCAAACCTGGGTGCAAATGGTGGAGATTTGGGGAAAACGGGCCAGATTTGGGTCCGTGGGGGTCAACAAGGGGGTCAAGGGTAGGAGTGAAGGACCTGGGGAACGGGGATGGAGACAGGACCAAAATTAGAACCAGCAACATGAGCGGCAGAGGTGCCCAATTAATTAATGGGTGGATTGGGGCTGTTTGCTGGGTTGAAGGCACTTTACCATACAGGAAACCTCTGTTGGAGATTTGGGGTAAAACAAAGGGAACTGGGGGCAAAACCAGTGAAGGTTTGGGGATGGGGGAGCGGCCGTGACCCTGCTGGAGTGCGGGGGGGGACCTCCAGCCCCCAGAGGGGTCCCTGCGCCTCCTCTGCCAAGGGTCCGGGTTCAGTTTTGGTGGTTATGCCATGATCTGGGCTCGACAGAGGCCCGGGCAGGGGCTGGAATGGCTCGCAGGGATCGATAACACTGGTGGTTTTACCTTCTATGCGCCGTCGGTCAAGGGCCGGTTCAGGATCTCCAGGGACAACGGGCAGAGCTCGGTGACGCTGACCATGAACAAACTCAAGGACGAGGATTCCGGATCCTATTTCTGTGCCAAATCTGGTTATGCTAGTGATTGGGGCCCTGCTGCTTATGGTGAAGACCCCAGTGGTGGATCCACGCCCCCATCTGAGTGTCCCTACCTGTCCCCAAACCCCCAACATTTCCCCCAAACCTCAGCCCTGGGCCCATCCCTGCCCGGGGGTCTCTGTCCCAATCCCCACCGGGACGGGGCTATGGGGACCCCTCTGGAGCCGTTTGGTTTCCCACTATCGCTCTCCTTACCGGGCTGTGGCCTTGGGGAGGTGCCGGCGGCTCACGGCCCCGGCAGCACACACAGAACTCAATGGCACAGCTCACCGCGAGAGGTTTGTGGCCAATCACACAAAGCAAAGGCAGATTGACACGGTGGGGCCGGATCTGGGACATCCTCGTCAGTTTTGGGGAATTTGGTTGGGACGTGGAGCCAAGAGCCGAGGTTTGGGGCCAAGAGCTGAGATTGGGGCAGAACCAGCTCAGAGCTGGGACACGGGCACAGGAATGGGGTCAGGGGCTGGGGACTGGGGGAAGGGTCTGGGGAATGGGGACATGGGGGAAACAGCCATGGGGATGGGGTCAAAACGACAGGCAACATTCTCCCAACCAGCACGATCATCAACACATTTGGCACAGAAATAGGTGGCAGAATCCTCGTCATTAAGGTTGCTCATGGTAAGCGTCACCGAGCTCTGCCCGTTGTCCCTGGAGATCGGGAACCAGCCCTGCACCGATAGCGCGTAGCCGGTGTAGGAACCATCGCTGTAGATGCCCGCGACCCATTCCAGCCCCTGCCCAGGTCTCTGACGGACCCGGCTCATGGACTGACCCCCAAAATTGAACCCGGACCCTCGGCACAGCAACGTCAGGGAACCCCCGGGGGGCTGGATGTCCGACCGCCCTCCAGCAGGGTCACGGCGGCCCGGAGCCCTGCGGGACAAAGGGGAGATGGGGATGAGGCCAAAGCTCAACCCGTGACCCAAATCCTGACCCTTGGCCTCAGACTGTGAACCATGGACCATCCCATCCTGGTTTTTTTCCTCCTGCTGCCTCTCCATGTTGGGTCACACATGCTTTTGCTGGCATGGCCATGTTCACTTTGGCTCTGCAGCCAATCAGGTTTCTCATCCGCATCTCCCCTTTGTCCCGCAGGGCTCCGGGCAGCCGTGACCCTGCTGCAGTGCGGGGGGACCTCCAGCCCCCCAGGGGGTCCCTGAGGTGGCTGTGCCGCGCCTCTGGGTTCAATTTTGGGAATTTTGGAATGTTCTGGATCCACCAGAGACCCGGCCAGGTGCCAGAATTGGTTGCTGGGATCAATCCTGATGGTGTGAGCGCCTACTACGTGCCATTGGTCAAGGGCCGGTTCACGATCTCCCGGGACAACGGGGAGAACTCGGTGACGCTGACCATGAACAACCTCAAGGACGAGGATTCCGGACCCTATTTCTGTGCCAAGCATATTTCTGGTGGCAAGGCTGATATTGCCGGTGCTTTTGGCCCTGTCCCCATCGCCGTGTCCTCAGCTGTCCCCAGACCTTTCCCCTGTGGTCACACATGGCCAGCGTCACCGAGCTCAGCCCGCTGTCCCTGGCCGTGCTGACCTGACCCTTGAAACATGGAACCTTCCAGGTGACTCCACCCTTGCACCCATCTGCTTCTCTCAGCATGGAGCCCTCCACTCGAGATCAATTTGAAAAATTTCATCTCCCCTAACTTTCAGGTGTTTTTGGTTAAAAAAGGCGGTTTATTCTCCATAGCTGTCAGAGAGGATTCCAGCCCAGCCCCAAGGAGCAGCCCCAGACACCGAGGCCGCTGAGGGAAAAGTGAAGCCCCAGGTGGGAGCGAGGGACAAAGGGAGGGAGGAGAAGACGCCGCGATTTTGGGGCTCTGCAGCCTCCCCCAACTTCCTGCCTGGCAGCTGCCGGGGCCCGGCCAGGGCAGGAAAGGAAACAGAAAGTTCCTGGTTTTGGTCATTGTGAACATCTGTGTTTGGCAGAGGGCAGCTCAGCCTCGGGGCGCTGCGGCAGAGCGCCGGCTGCACAAAAAGCTTTGTGTGCAAAGGGCCCTGGAGCGATCCCCGTGCCACACTGGGATGGAGGGGAACTGGGGGAGATTGGGGAGAAATGGGGGAGATTGGGGAGAATTGGGGAAAATTGGGGGGAAGCCAAAAATTGCGGCAACAGGGGAGGAGTTTGGAGAAAATGGTCAAGATTTGATAAAAAAGGCTGGAACCAGGGGGAAGGATCAGAGAATTCTGTGATACCTGGGAACACAGAAGAAAGGGCTCGGGACCACAACCACCATCAACACCGCACCACCACCACCACAACTACTACTGTAACATTTGGCGCAGAAATAGGATCCGGAATCCTCGCCCTTGAGGTTGTTCATGGTCAGCGTCACCGAGCTCTGCCCCTTGTCCCTGGAGATCGTGAACCCACCCTTGACCAACGGCGCGTAGTCGGTGTAACCTCCAGTGTAGTAGATCCTTGCGACGTATTGCAACCCCTGCCCGGGACTCTGGCGGATCCAGAACATGTCAACACTCCCGAGATCGAACCCGGACCCTTGGCAGAGGAGGTGCAGGGACCCCCCGGGGGGACTGGAGGTCCCCCCCGCACTCCAGATGGGTTACGGCCGCCCGGAGCCCTGCAGGACAAAGGGGAGATGGGGATGAGGCCAAAGCTCAACCCTTGACCCAAATCCTGACTCTTGGCCCAAAATTTTGACACTTCTGCCACCACATCCTCATCCTGGCTGCCGTCTCACGCGGGTCCTGCCCCTTTTTTCTGCAAGCCATGCCCCTTTTCTCATTCTGGACCAATCAGACTTGTCGTTTCCCTTTGTCCCCCAGGGCTCCGGGCGGCCGTGACCCTGCTGGAGTGTGGGGGGACCTCCAGCCCCCCGGGGTTCCCTGCACCTCCTCTGCCGAGGGTCTGTGTTCAGTTTCGGGAGCTACGACATGAAGTGGGTACGCCAGAGACACGGGCAGGGAGTGGAGTGGCTCGCAGGGATCAACACTGGTGGCAGCGCCTACTACGCGGATTCGGTCAAGGGCCGGTTCAGGATCTCCAGGGACAACGGGCAGAGCTCGGTGAGGCTGACCATGAACAACCTCAAAGACGAGGATTCCGGATCATATTTCTGCGGGAAATCTGCCTATACCAATTGGGCTACTGGTGCTGGTGTGGATGGTTTTGGTCCGGACCCTGTGGCCGTGTCCCGACCGGCTCCCAAATCCAAGACCCTTCCCTAAAACCCAAACCCTTTTGCCCATTCCTGACTCTGTCCCAACCCTAGAGCGGTTCTTCCCCAAATTCTCCATACCTTGCAAGAAAGTTCACCCAAGTCTTAACCTTGGCTTTAAATCTCCACTTTAAATTCAAAGTTTGGGGCACAAAGAGGAGATTTTGGGTCAGGAGTTGTGGTTTGGGGTCAGCGGGGGAGAATTAGGTCTGAGGCAGAGCAAGGTTGGGATCAATGGTCAAGTGCTGGGTGTGGGCTGGGGGTTTGGGGGAAGAGTCTGGGGAATGGGGACAGGGGGGGACACGGGGATGGAGGGCACAGTCAAATCTATAAACAACACCAGCAGGATCATACCAAACATTAACAGATTGGCACAGAAATAGGTGGCAGAATCCTCGTCCTTGAGGTTGTTCATGGTCAGCGTCACCGAGCTCTGCCCGTTGTCCCTGGAGATCCTGAACCGGCCCTTGACTGAGGGTGCATAGCCAGTGCTGGAACCATCGCTCTTAATCCCCCGAGCCACTCCGTCACCTGCCCGGCTCTCTGGCGGACCCACTGCATCCCAAAATTCCCAAAACCGAACCCGGACCCTCGGCAGAGGAGGCGCAGGGACCGCCCGGGGGACTGGAGGTGCCCCCCGCACTCCAGCAGGGTCACGGCATCTGACTCCATTATGCAGAATGCTGAGCAATTGCTCTATTAAATCTCTACTATATTACATTAATATTATATTTTATTACATTAATACAATATTTTATCTCATTATTTCTATATTACATCTCATTAATTAAATATTATATCTCATCAATACTATATTATATCTCATTATTTCTATATTATATCCCAATAATACTATATTTCATCTCAATAATGCTATATAATATCTCATTAATTCTATATTTATCTCATTAATACTATATTACATCTCATTAATGCTATATAATATCTCATTGATTCTATATATTATCTCATTAATACTATATTGCATTTATACTAAAGAGATACTAAAAAATTCCTTACAAAAGACCCCAAAATATCCTGAAGAAACCCCGCGAGTGTATGACAGAGCCAGGTCACAGCCTGGAGCCCATTGGCCAAGGAAACAAAACAATCTGCAGCAGAACCCAAATGATGAATCCCTGGAGGGGAATAATCCCCCTGGCACATTCCACACGCACAGAAACATCAGGAGCAGCGAGGAGAGATGGGAATTGTTTCATCTTCTTCTTCTCTCTGTGCTGCTTGGGGAAAAAAAATGTGTGAGAAAGGGAGAGGGAGACAGAGAGAGAGAGAGGGAGAGAGAGGGAGAGAGAGGATGGTGTCTGACTCTGTGCAGGGAACGAGAATGGCACAGCCAGGCCCCGTGCCCATCTCCCCTTTGTCCCGCAGGGCTCCGGGAGGCTGTGACCCTTCTGGGGTCCGGGGGATCCTCCAGCCCCGTGGGGGGTCCCTGCGCCTCCTCTGCCGAGGCTCCGGGTTCAGTTTTGGGAGTTTTGGAATGAGCTGGGTCCGCCAGAGACCCGGGCAGGGGCTGGAGTGGGTCGCGAGTATCCACAGCAGTGGCAGCGCCTACTACGCGCCATTGGTCAAGGGCCGGTTCACGATCTCCAGGGACAACGGGCAGAGCTCGATGAGGCTGACCATGAACAACCTCAAGGACGAGGATTCCGGATCCTATTTCTGTGGCAGAAGTGTTGTTGGTACTGCTGGTTGGGGTGCTGCTGAAGGTATTGGTCACTCTCATGTTTAGGTTGCATTTGGCTGTGTTCCTTTTCCCCGGTCCCCCACCCAAGCCTGGACCCCATTCCTGTCCCCATGTCCCAGTCTTGGAGTGGTTCTGCCCAAAATCCGCTCTCTGCACATTACCACAAAGTGGACTAAAACCTTTACCCTTGGCTTGAAGTATCCATTTTATAACAAGGTTTTGGGGCACAAAGTGGAGATTTGGGGTCAGGAGTTGTGGTTTGGGGTCAGCGGGTGAGACTTGGGGATGAGGCAGAGCAAGATTGGGATCGATGGTCAAGGGCTGGGTGTGGGCTGGGAGTCTGGGGGAAGGGTCTGGGCAACGGGGACAGGGGGGGACACGGAGATGGTGACACAACCATCATCATCACTCTTATTAGCAACACCACCACCAGCACCAGTATCAGCAGATTTTCCGCAAAAATAGACGGCGGAATCCTCGTCCTTGAGGTTGTTCATGGTCAGCGTCACCGAGCTCTGCCCGTTGTCTCTGGAGATCCTGAATCGGCCCTTGACCGATGGCACGTAGCCAGTGGTGCCACCACTGCTGTACATCCCTGCGACGAATTCCAGCCCCATCCCGGGTCTCTGGCAGATCCTGTACATTCCATAACTCCCAAAACTGAACCCGGACCCTCGGCACAGCACCGTCAGGGACCCTCCGGGGGGCTGGAGGTCCCCCCCGCACTCCAGAAGGGTCACGGCCGCCCGGAGCCCTGCCGGACAAAGGGGATGAGAAACCTAAATGGCTGTGCAGTCAAAGCGGGTGTGGTCTGCTGGAAAATGGGATGTGACTCACCTGGGAAGAGGATGATGAACTCCAAGGGTCCCAGTTTGGGGCCAAGAGTCAGGATTTGGGTCAAGAGTTGAGCTTTGGCCGCATACCCATCTCCCCTTTTTCCCGCAGGGCTCTGGGCGGCCGTGACCCTGCTGGAGTGCGGGGGGGACCTCCAGCCCCCTGGGGGGGTCCCTGACGTTGCTGTGCCGAGGGTCCGGGTTCAATTTTGGGAGTTTTGGAATGTTCTGGATCCGCCAGAGATCCGGGCAGGGGCTGGAGTGGCTCGCCGGGATCTACAGCAATGGTGCTTACACCGAGTACGCGCCATCGGTAAAGGGCCGGTTCACGATCTCCAGGGACAAAGGGCAGAGCTCGGTGAAGCTGACCATGAACAACCTCAAGGACGAGGATTCCAGATCCTATTTCTGTGCCAGGGCTGCTGATGGTTATGGTGCTGCTGCTAATGGTGACGATGGCCCTGATGGTCTCAAGGTCCTGCCTTACATCCCACTCCCATCATTTTATACTCATAATTCTGATTTTCATCCCAAACCTCACGCATTGAACCAGTCCTTGACCCTTTGTCCCAAATCTCCCCCATTTGCCCCAATGGTCAGCACTGACCCCAAACCCTCACCTGCTCCTGCCCCAAAACTCAACCACTGGCCCCAAACCTTCACCCCTGAGCTCCAGGTCAGGCCTTACTCTCTGAGTTCCCATTTCTGCCTGTGCCAGCTCAGCCAATTAGGGCCCTGGGAGCTGGGGTAGATTTAGTTTAAATGGGCCAAATTATGGGGAAGGTCGACACTTGAGGCAGAATGGGTGGAGTTTGGCGGAAAACAGTCAAGATTTGAGGAGTAGGGCTGGGATTTGGGAGAAGAATATCAGGAGATTGGGGACATTTGCTGCCCACCATGGGGGTGGTGCCACTGGTGTCGTCATCAATAAAAGCATAATCAGCTCCCCAATACTTGTGACGTCTGGCACAGAAATAGGATCCAGAATCCTCGTCCTTGAGATTGTTTATGGTCAGCATCACCGAGCTCTTCCCGTTGTCCCTGGAGATCGTGAACTGGCCCTTAACCGATGGATTGTAGATGGTGTAGCCTCCATTGTCGGTGATGTGGGCAAGAAACTCCAGCCCCTGCCGGGGTCTCTGGCGCACCCAGAGCATGTCGTGATTGGCCAGAGTGAACCCAGAGCCGATGCAGAGCAACGTCAGGGACCCCCAGGGGGCTGGAGGTCCCTCCCGCACTCCAGCAGGGTCACGGCCGCCCGGAGTCCTGCGGGACAAAGGGGAGATGATGGAAATCAAAACTCTGATTGGTCAAGGGCCCCCAAGTGGGTGTGGCCAGCCAGACAAAGGAGTAGAATCCTCCTGGGGGGAGGGTGATAAACTCCAAGAGTCCCAGTTTTGGGCCAAGATTCAGGATTTGGGTCAAGGGTTGAGCTTTGGCCTCATCCCCATCTCCCCTTGGTCCCACAGGGCTCCGGGCGGCCATGAGCCTGCTGGAGTCCGGTGGGGACCTCCAGCCCCCCGGGTTGTCCCTGCGCCTCCTCTGCCGAGGGTCCGGGTTCGTTTTCGGCAGTTTTGGAATGGGCTGGGTCCGCCAGAGACCCGGGAAGGGGCTGGAGTTTGTATCGATAGTCACCAGTGATGGCGCCACTCCCAGATACCCGCTGTCGTTCAAGGGCTCTGTCACGATCTCCAGGGACAATGGGCAGAGCTCGGTGACGCTGACCATGAACAACCTCAATGGGGAGGATTCCGGATCGTATTTCTGCGCCAGGGGTGCTGATGGTTATGGTGCTGGTTGGGGTGCTGCAAATATTTTTTATGGTTTTCTCCCTGTCCCCGTGCCGCAACACTTCCCTCCACTCCTGACCCTTTGTCCCAACCTTGCCTTGCTCTGGCCCCAAATCTCAGCTCCTGGCCCCAAATCACAGCCGGTTTCACCCTGAGCTCAGTCTCGGCCTTTAAATCCCACATTGCCCTACACTGGACCTGTTCTGGGCCAGAACTTCAGTGGTGGATCTGAGTCACAGACACAGACCAAATCTGGCCCATTTTCCCCAAATCTCGACCATTTGCACCCAGGTTTGGGGACCTTGGTTGAGCGTTGGAGCCAAGAGCTGAGGTTTGGGGCCAAGAGCAGAGATTTGGAGCAGAGCCAGCTCAGAGCTGGGACAGGGAGACAGGAATGGGGTCAGGGGCTGGGGATTGGGGAAGGGTCCGGGGAATGGGGACAGGTGGGGACACAGGGATGGGGATGAGGTGAACACCATCCACACCAGCAGCAGCACCCCAATTATTATAGGCAGCTTTGGCACAGAAATAGGATCCGGAATCCTCGTCCTTGAGGTTGTTCATGGTCAGCGTCACCGAGCTCTGCCCGTTTTCCCTGGACATCCTGAACCAGCCCTTGACGGATGGCGCGTAGAATGTGCTGCCACCAACACTGCTGATACTTCCAACCCATTCCAGCCCCTGCCCGGGTCTCTGGACGATCCAGTACATGACAAAACTGCCAAAATCGAACCCGGACCCTCGGCAGAGGAGGCACAGGGAGCCCCCGGGGGGGCTGGAGGTGCCCCCCGAACTCCAGCAGAGTCACGGCCGCCCGGAGCCCTGCGGGACAAAGGGGAGATGGGGATGAGGCCAAAGCTCAAACCTTGACCAAAATCCTGACTATTGGCCCAAAATTCTAACCCTTGGAGTTCATCATCCTCCTCTCACGTGCATCCCACCACTTTCTCAAGCATGCCATGCCACCTTGGGCACTCTTCACCAAATACGTTCCTCATCCCCATCTCCCCTTTCTCCCGCAGGGCTCCGGGCGGCCGTGACCCTGCTGGAGTGCGGGGGGGACCTCCAGCCCCCCGGGGGATCCCTGCGCCTCCTCTGCCGAGGGTCCGGGTTCAGTTTTGGGGATAATGGAATGTACTGGATCCGCCAGAGGCCCGGGCAGGCTTTGGAATACGTCGCAGGCATCTACTACAATAGTGCCAACACCTACTACGCGCCATCGGTCAAGGGTCGGTTCAGGATCTCCAGGGACAACGGGCAGAGCTCGGTGATGCTGACCATGAACAACCTCAAGGACGAGGATTCCGCCATTTATTTCTGCGCCAAGTGTGCTGCTAATAATTACCCTGAACATGCTGCTCGTAGTGTCGATGCCCAAGGTTTTCCCACCCCCATCCCCTTATCACCCCCTTTCCCTGTTCCCCAGACCCTTCCCCCAGACCCCCAGCCCACACCCAGCCCTTGACCATTGATCCCAACCTTGCTCTGCCTCGGCCCCAATTCTCACCCGCTGACCCCAAACCACAACTTCTGACCCCAAATCTCCACTTTGTGCCCCAGAACTTTGCTCTGCAGTTCGGCTTTTGAGGCCCAGGGTCCCAATTTGGGGACAAAGTTTGAGGATTCGGTCAGCGGCTACTGGTGCAGGGAGCACAAAGTGGGGATTTGGGGCAGATTCGGGCGATTTTTGGTGCCAACTTATTTGGGTCTGGGGCAGTACTAGTTCGCGGGTTTCGGCTCCGTGTTTGGTGGTGTTGGGACTGGGGGAGATCTCGGGCAAAGGGTCAAGAATGCGGTCAAGGGCTGAGATTTGGGGGAAGGGTCTGGGACCTGGGGGCAGGAGGGGACCCAGTCAAGGGGAAGAGGCCAAGAGCAGAGACGTCATTACCCCAACTGGCACCAGCAGCCTTGCCGCAGAAATAGGATCCGGAATCCTCGTCCTTGAGATTGTTCATGGTCAGCATCACCGAGCTCTGCCCATTGTCCCTGGAGATCGTGCACCTGCCCTGCACTGAACCCACGTACTCGGTGTAACCGCCACTGCTGATCCCCGTTAGCCACTCCAGCCCCTGCCCGGGTCTCTGGCGGATCCAGAACATTCCATAATCCCCAAAACTGAACCCGGACCCTTAGCAGAGGAGGCGCAGGGACCCCCCTGGGGGCAGGAGGTCCCCCCCGGACTCTGGAAGGGTCACGGCTGCTCCCCCATCACCAAACCTTCACCGGTTTTGCCCCAAATTCCCTTTTTTTGTCCCCAAATCTCCAACAGAGGTATCCTGAATGGTAAAGTGCCTTAAACCCTGTAATTAGCTTCAATTCACCCATTAATTACTTGGAAAGCTCTGCCTGACTTTTGCATTGCGCCATCCCCATCTCCTCTTTGTCCCGCAGGGCTCCAGGCGGCCGTGACTCTGCTGGAGTGCGGGGGGGACCTCCAGCCCCCCGGGGGGTCCCTGACGTTGCTGTGCCGATGGTCCGGGTTCAGTTTCGGCAGTTTTGGGATGGCCTGGATCCGCCAGCGACCCGGGCAGGGGCTGGAGTGGGTCGGAACCATCACTAGCAGTGGTGGCGTCACCAGGTACGCGGATTCAGTCAAGGGCCGGTTCACGATCTCCAGGGACAACGGGCAGAGCTCAGTGACGCTGACCATGAACAACCTCAAGGACGAGGATTCCGGATCCTATTTCTGTGCCGAGGACACCGATGGTCACGGTGCTTATGCTGATGCTGGTTGGGGAAGATGGAACAGCAAAGCCTTATCAATGTGATTGCCTGGCAAAAGATTTTGAGACTATGGAAACCATCAGCGAGATTGAAATGAAAGCAAGCTTTGAGATCCCTCAGTGACTGAACAACTGGAAAACAACGGTGTGGCTACCTGAAAGTGATCCCATTTTGATGGAACAACACCCTCTGCCTGCAGACAGGCCCAAGGGTCAGAGCAACTCTACAGCTTGGCAGAACGGGCCAAAGAGGAGTTTTTGGGGTTTAAAATTACTCCAAAATGGAGTTTTTAGGGTTTCCAAAGAGCAGGTCTTAGGCTTGGCAGAAGGGGCCCAAAGAGGAGTTTTTAGGGTTTAAATTGTAATAGAGTATGGTAATGAAACGATTCTTATAGGCTGTATGTAAATGCTGTAGGGTTTGTATATTGGACCAGATTGGTTAGTGAGAATTAGAATCTTCTACAGAGAAGAAGATTTATTGTATTGTGGTGGGAACCTCACTCTCTTACCCTTTTATTCTCTTAGAGTTTTATGTTCTTACACTTTTACACTCTTACCATTTTATTCACTGACTCTTTCACTCTCTTACCCTTTCTATTCTCTCACCCTTTTACTCATTTACCTTTTTTACTCTCTTACTCTCTTCCCGTCTCATCTTCTCTCCCCTCTCTTCTCTCAGCCCTGCTCCAGCTGTGCCTGGCAGCTCCCAGCAGGGCCCTGCAGTTAATCCTTCGCAATAAACCCAAAATGCCATGACCTGGCTGCAGAGATCTCTCGTGTCCGTCTGTCTGTCCCGACCGTCCTGCGCCCTGATGGTCCAACAATGCTGATCGGGGGGTGGGGCAAAGGCGGCACGTCAATAGAAGCAAAACCATAAGTACCATCAAGAGTATAAGCATATTTGGCACAGAAATAGGATCCGGAATCCTCGTCCTTGAGGTTGTTCATGGTCAGCATCAGCGAGCTCTGCCCATTATCCTTGGAGATCGTGAACCGGCCCTTGACCGAATGCGCGTAGCTCGTGCTGCCAGTGGTGCTGATATCTGCAATGAACTCCAGCGCCTGCCCGGGTCTCTGGCGGATTCAGGCCATCACAATAATCCCAAAATCGATCCCGGGCGCTCGGCAGAGGAGGTGCATGGACCCCTCAGGTGTCTGGAGGTCCCCCACGCAGTCCAGCAGGGTCACGGCCCCCCGGAGCCCTGCGGGACAAAGGCGAGATGGGGATGAGGAGCCGGACCTGGGCGTGGGCTGTGCTGGGGGTGACCAGATCCAAAAAGGGACCTGGACCCATCTGGGAGGGCCAGCAGGATCGGGAGGAGGAGAAAGTGCCGCAATTTGAGGCCAACATCAGAATCTACATGCAGGAATCAACATTTGGGTGGATTTTTTCCCTCATCCACATCTGCCCTTTCTCCCGCACGGCTCCAGGCGGCCGTGACCCTGCTGGAGTGCGGGGGGCACCTCCAGCCCCCCGGGGGTTCCCTGCGCCTCCTCTGCCGAGGGTCCGGGTTCAGTTTTGGCATCTCTGACATGCTCTGGATCCGCCAGAGACCCGGGCAGGGGCTGGAATGGGTCGCGTGGATTAGGAGCAATGGTTCCAGCGCCATCTACGCGCCGTCGGTGCATGGCCAGTTTACGATCTCCAGGGACAACGGGCAGAGTTCGGTGACGCTGACCATGAACAACCTCCAGGACGAGGATTCCGGATCCTGTTTCTGTGCCAAAGCTGCTGGTGCTGCTTGGGCTGCTGTTGCTGCTTACATTGACCATGCCGGTGGTGGCAGCGCCCTTGCCTGAGCCCCTCTTGTCCCCAGATCTCTGAACCTTTACCCAAATCTGAGCCCTTGACCCCATTCTTGACCCTTTGTCCCAGATCTCCCCATTTCCACCACCACCAACCACGGTGCCAAAACCCCCAAACTGATTCTGCCCCAAATCCCCTCTTTGTACTCCCTTCAGCAGTAGCCACTGACCGAATCCTCAACCTTTGTCCTAAAATCGGGACCCTGGGTCCCAAACCTTGACCTTCAGGGCAAAGTTTTGGGGCACAAAGAGGAGATTTGGTGTCAGGAGTTGTGGTTTGGGGTCAGCGGGTGAGAACTGGGGCCGAGGCAGAGCAAGGTTGGGATCAATGGTCAAGGGCTGGGTGTGGGCTGGGGTTTTGGGGGAAGGGTCTGCGGAACAGGGACGGGGGGGGATGAGGAGATGGGGATGGGGACACCATGGGCATCGTCACTACGAGCAGCATATTCAGGGTAATTATTAGCAGCACACTTGGCACAGAAATAAACGGCGGAATCCTCATCCTTGAGGTTGTTCATGGTCAGCGTCACCGAGCTCTGCCCGTTGTCCCTGGAGATCGTGACCCGGCCCTTGACTGATGGCACGTAGTAGGTGTTGGCGCTATTGTAGTAGATGCCTGCGACGTATTCCAAAGCCTGCCCGGGTCTCTGGCAGATCCAGCACATTCCATAATCCCCGAAACTGAACCCGGACCCTCGGCTGAGCAACGTCACGGACCCCCCGGGGGGCTGGAGGTCCCCCCCGCACTCCAGCAGGGTCACGGCCGCCCGGAGCCCTGCGGGACAAAGGGGAGATGGGGATGAGGCCAGAGCTCAACCCTTGACCCAAGTCCTGACTATCGGCCCAAAACTGGGACCCTTGGAGTTCATCATCTGTCGGATTCTCGGCTGTTTAGAAGGCCTGGAAAGGCCCGGGGTGGCCTTGGACAGCCCGCGCTTCAAAGGACGAGAAGGGACTTCAGACCTTCTCTCGCTCTTGGTGTTTATTAATTTTTTATCTAAAAGATTTTCTCTTGGCCCGACAGAGGTCTGCTCAGCAGTTAGCCATGAGCACACACTGAGAGCCCCTGGGGCGGTCACCTATCTTTATACTCGAAGTTACGTATACAATATTTATCATTTTTCCCCAATACCTTCTACCCTTATTAACCAGTGCACTTTTAGTAATAACTAATCCCAAAGTGCCACCATCACCACAGAAGATGGAGGCCAAGAAGAAGAAGAAGAAGAAGGACGGGACACGCCCCAATTCCCACATCTTACTTCTCCAGACCGCCCCCTGTACAGAAATCCTAAACCCTGTGTTTTACTCTCTAATTAACTCATCCCTTCACCATTTACTCCGGTGAGATCCTCCCATCCTCACACAGGTGTCGTCTCCCGTGCAGGATCAAAGTCCAGCCACCAGACACTTCTGGCAACATTCCAGGACCCCCGAGCCCCCCCAAGGGTGGTCTCCGTCACTCTGCACCTCAGTCCTGAGGTGCTTAAATACCACACCAGTGGTTCGTATCAGAGGTTTGTTAGGGAAGACCGCGTGGATCGATTGTGCCTCAAGTACAGACAAACCCATTCGTGGGGTTGTCCTTGCTGAGGGACCAGGTTGGATGTGGTGTGTCTCTTTTCTCAGCTGTTTTATGGCCTGGAAAGGCTCGGAGATGGCCTTGGGCAGCCCGCGCTTCAAAGGACGAGAAGAGGCTTCAGGTCTTTCTCGGGCTTCGGTATTTATTGGTTGTTTATCTAAAAGATTTTCTCTCTGCCCGACAGAGGTCCGCACAGCAAGCCGGCCACGGGCACACTGCGAGCCCCCGGGGCGGTCCCTTATCTTTATACTCAAAATTACTCAAATCCTCCCATCCTCATACAGGTGCACACTACTCTAATAAATTTATCCCTTCACCATTTATCCCCGTGAAATCCTCCCATCCTCATACAGGTGCACGCTACTCTAATGAACCTATCCCTTCACCATTTATCCCCGTGAAATCCTCCCATCCTCATACAGGTGCACACTGCCAGCCCCCGGGGCGGTCACTTATCTTTATACTCAAAATTACGTATACAATATTTACCTATTCTTTCCAATACCTTTCACCCTTATTGACCAGTAATAACCAATTATTTTATTACTTTTAGTAATAACCAATCCCAAAATTCCACCGCCACCACAGAAGATGGAGGCCAAGAAGAAGAAGAAGAAGAAGAAGAAGGAGGACAGGACACGCCCCAATT